TATATATATACACACACACACACATATATATATATATATATATATTACACACACATATAGATATATACTGTGTATATACAGTGTATATATATATATATATATGATCATAAATAAATATTGCATATAGTACATAATATAGTATTGATCACATATACATACATCTGTGATCAATACTATATATTTATGATTATATTATGTAACAAAAGTGTACTGTATTTACATATATACAAAATTGATTTTATATTCATATAATTTATATATGTTAATTTTATATAAAGTATTATAAAAATATTAAGAACTTATAGATAACTTTGTAATACATAACTTTGTTAATCATATATGTTATTATTAATAATATTATTGCAAACTGATTTGATTATGACTATATAATAAAATGATGTTATAATAAATATATATATATTATCCAGTATTCAGGAATTATTCAGTTATTAATTCCTATTATTAAAAAAGTTTGAAATGACACAAAATCTCAATAAATTACATGAAATCATATACATATATAAAGTTAACCTGTCTTTCCCTCATATAGCCATTTTATTCATCATAGCATTCTCACAAATTAAAAGCCATACATATATTTACATATTCATCTAGATGCATTGGAGAAATGATTCTGAAAGTTCTTCATGCGGTGGGTGTGAGTGTGTTGCAGTACCTCATGTCTCTCTCCCTTGTTCTCCGTCAGCAGGATGATGGCGTCAGCGAGTGTGGTGGATGTGGCCTCCACCTGCTCCACCATCACCTGTCTGGAGCTGTAGATGGCCAAGATGTACCCTGGGAAATCCTGACTGGGTCTGCGAGCGTTGGTGGGGCTGGAGACTGCAAAAACACACAAACGTGCTTTCTAAATCTCATCCAAAATGAGTCCTGCTTACTCTCCAGAGTGTGTTTAGTAAGCAATAAGGTACGAGAGGCCTGTATTGTGAACAGGTCACGGCTGAAGCACGTTGTCACGGCTGAAAGCCATGACTTACTCACAACACAGCACGCCTCGAGTGCCTTATTGCTTTTAGGAAACGGCTACCACACAAAACAAATATTAAAACCAAAAATGTATGCATTGATTTGTTAAGTAAATTCATTAAATTCTATCCTTCCACTAAAAAATAGTCCCTGACAGTGACAGTAAACGGCAAGAGAATGTTCTGATGTAACAAGCCTCATCTTATGAAGCTCAAATAAAAACAGAGAACAGGAACTGTTCTCATCTCACTTTTTAAACACCATATATGATCTTTTCTCACATACATCTGCTTATCTCTCAGCATGAGAAAACGCCTGTTTTCCAGTTTAAAACAGAACGATTCGCGGCACAGTGCGAGATTGCAAGCGTCATTAAAGTCTAAATTCATGGACATACAGTACCATACCTCAAAAAGAAAACTAATAAATACAGTATAAAATTCCCTCCACACTTGTGTAAACTGCAGGCTTCCACACAGACACACGCTTATCAATGTTTCTCCCATACGAGAAGAGTTTCTTTAACGGCGGGTTAAAGGTGAATGATGCAACATAAGGCCAGCAGGGGTCGCTCATAATTCATCACATAAATAACAAAGAATTAATTTTGCTGAAATACATAACACCGTTCTGGCGCTATATTGATTGTTTATGTTGCTGCAGTGATACACAGAACCGTTGGTGCTTTATCGTGAATATAAAACAGCTGCTGGTCATCACATAAATAACAAAGAATTAATTTTGCTGAAATACATAACACCGTTCTGGTGCTATATTGATTGTTTATGTTGTTGCAGTGATACACAGAACCGTTGGTGCTTTATCGTGAATATAAAACAGCTGCTGACCAATCAGAATCAAGGACTGGAACTAACCGTTTTATAATTGTATTGACCCTTCGCAAAGACCCGCCCCCTTAGTTACAGTTGCTACGTCCGACAAACCATGGCGCTCTCACGCCACACATCATGTTCTCACGCAGTGAAAAATACATCGCGGAGCAAAGAGGAAACTGAAAACTGAGACAGAGCAGGTTACTTTGGGTATGAAACAGTCTCAGCTTTCAAAATTTTGTCTTTATTTTTTAGAAATTCAAATGAATAGCATTTTGTGGCTCTTTAATGTGTGGTGACGGATCGCTGTAGCACGTGAACCGATCATCTCTTCTTCTACTAGTTATAGCACAAAATAAACATGAATGAACATTTCTGGTGCTATATTGATTGTTTATGTTGTTGCAGTGATACACAGAACCGTTGGTGCTTTATCGTGAATATAAAACAGCTGCTGACCAATCAGAATCAAGGACTGGAACTAACCGTTTTATAATTGTATTGCCCCGTCGCAAAGACCCGCCCCCTTAGTTACAGTTGCTACGTCCGACAAACCATGGCGCTCTCACGCCACACATCATGTTCTCACGCAGTGAAAAATACATCGCAGAGCAAAGAGGAAACTGAAAACTGAGACAGAGCAGGTTACTTTAGGTATGAAACAGTCTCAGCTTTCAACATTTTGTCTTTATTTTTTAGAAATTCAAATGAATAGCATTTTGTGGCTCTTTAATGTGTGGTGACAGATCGCTGTAGCGCCTCAGTTCTCATCATCTCTTCCTCTTTACTAGTTATAGCACAAAATAAACATGAATGAACATCAGAATGGATCTTGTTTCAGCCGCAGAAAGACGTCAGAACATACCGCTTTTCAAGTTAATCTACTCTCCTGTCTGGTTTGTTTGTCGGACAGAATTCCAGATTCAGTGTTATGATTGGTCAGATCGCCTGTCAATCAAACTCCCGGCGAAGGGTCAATCAAGCGTGTGTTTGTGTACCTGGTGTTGAAGCGCCCGTCAGGTCCATCTGCCAGTGGTTGAAGGCACAGCAGACCATCGCGTACTCTCCCGGCTCCAGCATCACATCACATCCTACAAACTTCTTCACCGCGCGCTTGCTGTGTGCCAGCAGACGTCCCAGGACCAGCCTATTCCCGTTACCGAACGAGGCCCGGAAGACCATGATGCACAGATCCAACAGGTGACTGTCGGCCGTGTCTGAACGCCTGGAGCAATGGCACAGAATTGATGTTGTTGTTGTTTTATGGTTAATATTTCATGCCTCATTCTTTATTTATTTTGCTGTTATTTACCTGCTGCCCTCCTGGAAGAGGGCGAACTCCAGCGTGGTTCTCTCCAGGACCGTGAGGGCGGTTACAGTCACCGGTTTACTCGCCCGGCAGGGCAAGCAGCCCTGCAGACGAACTTCCTGCCAATCAGGATGAATCTTGCAGATATCCACCGAATCAAAATACCTGCACGCACAAGATTAAATAAGGTTTTTTTCTGTTGCAGTTACTAGATCTAATGATAGACTGATATGTCGGTCAGACGGATGATTGTGTATTTTGGCCAATTTGAACATCAGTTGATAACAATACCCAATTGGAATTACTTGAATAAATTTTTAAATAAATATAATTATTTTGTCATTTACAACCATTAAAGAATATGAATAAAATATCAAATTAATGATTTGAATTTAATGAAATTGTTAAAATAATTTTTTTTTTTTCAAATTTAGATCTCATTTGCCATTATTAAATGTATATTAATTAATATTGTTAATAAAAGTTGTGTAAAATGTCTTTAATATTGTTTACATAGATCTCATATAAAATAATTGAAAATGTATATCATAATAAACTAAGTGAATTGTAATGTAATGTTTGTAAGAAATATGGTGTAAAATAAGTAATTTTTAAAAATGTATGTAGATATTGTTTGTATTTATTATGGATTTAACAAATTTAATACATTTTTAACATTTGTAATAAATATGATGTAAAATAAGTCTTTTTTTGTTTTCAAATGTATGTAGATCTCATTTGGCATCACTAATACATACAATTAAAATGTTAAGAATTTTTTATAAATTTCATGTAAAATGTGTCTTTCATGTCATTAAATAATGTTTATATAATATAAAATGAATTCATTTTAATATAATGTTCTTAAATATAATTTATTTACTTTTTTATTTTTTTACAAGCTTTAATATTTCTTATTAAAATTGTGTAAAACGTATTTTTATGTAGATTTTAATATAATATTTTTTAATAAATAAGTTGTAAATATGTCTTGTTTTTTCCAAGTTCGTCTAATTTGCTCATATGTATGTAATAAAAAAAACAACAACAGAATTTGTATATAATACATAATATAATAAAAATAATATACAGCACATTTACATCACATTTGTCAAATTTAAGTAGATCTCTTGCATCATTAAATAATGTTTCTAGAATTTAAAATTCATTAATTTTAATATATTCTTTAAACAGAATTTTCAGAAAACAGCACAATAATTTTATATTAAAATGGTGTGAAATGTGTTTATGTAGATCTCACTTTCCATCATTAATAATATGCATATAAATTCATTAGAATTGAATATAATAATTTTAATTAAATATGGTGTCCTCATTTTTCTCCAAGTTTATTTAGATCTAATTACTAATATATGTATAATAAAAAAACAAAAAAATTAATAATACATAAAATAGAAAGTAAATAAACAGGCCATCAGCCTCCTGCACATTCACATCACTTCTGAAAGACTTCTGTCCACTAACGAGGTGCTCTTTATTTATGGAAAGCTCTGATGAAGCTCATCTCAGATTAAAGGTCAATTTAACACAGATGAAGCACTTAATGACTCACTTAATGAAGTCTCCGTATTCTATCCAGAAGACGCCTTCACTGCTGCCGTGAGCCATGAGCTCGTGACGCAGGTGCTGCGGCCAGTCGGCCCACTCGTCTGACCACGAGCCGTTCCAGGAGAACCGGCCCCAGGGGTTCCTCAAACGCAGCAGCCTGAACACAAAAGCCGCCGTCCTTTACCAGAACCGCTCAAGATTTACAGCTCTGGCCTGCTTTTATTGTTCTGTCACAATGAGTGCACGCGTCACTCACGATTTAAAGACAACCCACCTCCTCATGCATGCCATCATATGACCTCAGAAAACATCTATGGACTACTTTTTTGTTCTTTGCATGACAGCATGAATCATCTTCATTATATGCAAAGCAGCAGGTGTGTAACAGTACACAAAAATGACAGTCACGGTTCGGTAACAGCAACTAAACATCATTTACCAACCCTCTACGCACACCTTGGCAATATAATCGCCATTGGCTAGTAAATTTTTTTGTTTACTCGCCAGACTGATATACTATTTTACACACACACACACACACACACGTTTACCATACTGGCGTGTAAAATCTAAGAATTTATTAGCCAATGGCTAATGTTAGACATTATTTAGTCGCCCAGAGTAAGATTTAGTCGCATTTGAGAGTGATTTACTCACAATGTAGAGGGTTGTTTACATTACATTTAGACATTTAGCAGACGCTTTTATCCAAAGCGACTTACAAATGAGGACAATGGAAGCAATCTAAATCAACATCAAACTGCTTCTTTTTTACTTTTTAATTAAACGGTGGTTTACCGAACAAACTGTGGCTCTGTCTTTAAATAAATTTGTTTAAAAAAATAATCTACCTCTGCTAATGCTGTAAATTATATAGGAGCCGTATAACTTGCATATTACTATAATATTAAAAGTTACAATTAACAAAGAAATCCAAACTATTAAATTCAATTGCTATTTATTTTTAGATATAATAATCAGCACTGAAATAAAAAAAATTGTATGCAAATGTAAATTACACATAAGGCAGTTTTTACATTAACTTAATCTAGAAAATGATGTTTCTACTCCAGTGTGTTGTTGAAATATAATCATAACTTGTTTTCATGACAGTTACGTTAACTAACAGGTTAAATAAATATATTGAATATATAGGCTAATATAGTGCATATATTTAGCAAATGAGCCAAATGTAATGCTACGTGATACGGTTTACAAGCGGTTTTAATGACATCTTTTCACAGTTGAAACACGTGATTGATTTGTCGTGAAACATTAAAGTGTGTCAAAACAGCATTTAAAGCTTGAACTTCCTGATAAAATGGACAGAATATGAAACATGAGACTTTGTTTCTTGTTGAAAGTCACTAAACACAAAGCTTACTGTTATATTATAATATCTAATGAAGTTTTATTCACTGAAACAGCATAGACTAAATAATCGATCTTGGGATTTAAGAATCGGTATTGTTTTGTTAAAATGAGGATATATAAAACTAGAAGTTCCATATTAACTTCTGCATACGCAGTGGTTAAAACAACACTGCGTACCGAAGCAAAAAACCCGTACTGAACGTTTTCAGTATGAATACGTGTAACATCACACCCCTACAAACAGTGATCTTTTGTGTCGTATGGGTGAAGAAACTCTTTTTTGACAGCATGCATGCTGTGAACGTGTCTGACCTGTAGCCCTGAACATCCCTGACGTCCAGTATGGAGTAGGCATGTCGTGGGCGGAGCCCCAGAGATTCATATACAGCATCATCCACCTTCATGTTCCCGCCACCACAGGACGCCCCCATCAGAAAGCTGAGACACACACAGACAACGATCACAAACCCAAACCTCTTAACTCACTTCACAGTTACACCAGTGTAGAACAGAGGTGTTTTAGTATCACTGATTTTTTAGTTATCATGTTTTATTAATTTTAGTTATTTTAGTTGTAGTTGTTTTAGTAGAGAAATTATACTTTGGCAACTAACTGAAATAAAACACACACACACATATATATATATATATATATACACATACATACATTATATATATATATATATATATATATATATATATCTATATATAAACTATTTTATCTCAGTTAAAGTTTTTTTTTTATTTCAAGTAAACAATTTTTTAAAATAATTTGTAGTTAACAATAATACATACTGTATATATCCTGGTATATAAATACCATATGAATATTCAAATAAAAAAAATAACACTTCGTAGCACAGATAATTCAAAATTCAACATTTTAATCTTGTATATTCATAATATTTTTAGCCGTTTCATTTTATATTATTTTTTGAATATTTGATTTTTGGGAAATTTTAATTTTTAGTTTAATAAACAAATAATAAAACAGAACATAACACACCAGAATCACAAATAAACAGACAGATAGAAAATAAACAAACAAATATTTTAGTTGAAACAGGTTACATTTGTTTAAATACAGCAATTACTTTATATAAAATGATTACAACAACTTTTAAATAATGGCTGAAAATATCCAACAATGTGTCTTTTAGATATAATATGTATTGTAAATTCTACAATAATGATTATAGACATGTTTATAAATAATATAATTATCAATCATTAGCAATATAATTTGCGTTGTTCAGCTGATACTGTATGTATAACTAATGCTAGTAAGGATGCTCTGATCAGGATTTTTGGAGCCGATCACCGTTTGTCGATCACAGGAAGCAGTATCTATCGATACGACCAGCGATACCGATCTTTTTGAAGCCTTCTTTTTATCATGTAGAATTATTTATAGTGATGCTCCAATCAGGATTTTTACAGACGTTCATCAAACTTCCCAAAGCAATTATCAGTCGATAGCGATCAGTAGTCAATCAATCAGAGCACCCCTAATAGTATGTGGACATTATTTGTCCTGTAATTGCCAAGTAGCCTAGAATACTTTGTAAGACACCATCTAATTTGTTTTGTTTTTTTAAATTAATTTATTGTCTTTTTTCCTTCATTATAAAGGACAAAAGACACCTTGTCTTCTTATAATGTGCCTTGAAATTAGCGAGTCCAGAGCACAGTGAATAAATTTCAGGGCTCAAATTACAGGACAATTAATTGAATAATCTGGAGTGTGTGTCGCCGTACCCGGCCTCTTTGGAGCTGAGCATTTTGGCCCATATGAGGTCCGTGTCGATGGGCTCTTCCCGTGGGTTGGTTGAGCTGACCTGCAGCATCAGACTTTCACAGGGGGCGCCAGTGAGCGTCGCCAAACCCTCGATGGCACGACCGGCCTGCAGCGCAAAATACGACCCGTGCAGCTTCGCAAGAGCCTTTTCTATCAGCGCAACCCACAGCTGCCTCCGCTGAGCCTGTCAAAGAGAAAAACACCGAAAAAAGAGAGAGAGATTCAAAAAAATATTAATACAAGCCCTTAGCAGGAAGTAATGTTTGCAGCAAAAGTATCATTTCCAAAAATACAATTTAGAATCTTTAACATTTTTTTCATACGCTACTTTATAATAAAAAGCCAAAAATATTTAAACTGTTTTATTTAATATAATTACATTCAATATATTTAATCATAACAACATTTTAATGCTAATAATAGTATATAAAATGTAATTAATAAAATATATTTAAAATATATTAACATTTATACAATTAAATGTAGTAATAATATTATAATTTTTTTAATTCATTTAAAACATTCAAATCTTTACAATGTTTAAAACACTTTTCACTTACTTCTTAAATACAAAAAAAAAAAAAAAAAAAAAAAAAAAAAAAAAAAAAAAATTTTTTTAAATAATTTGTCACTACATTACATATTGTTTTTTAGTAGGTAAAAATGTGCAATTCTTTATTTAACTTCATTAAAGTTTAATTTACTTTTAATAAGTTTTCATTAAAAAAACTCATTGGCCATCATTAAATATGTATATAATATAAAATTAATTACAATTTAAATATATATTTAATAAATATGGTGCAAAATATGTATTTAATTTGCTTTTCAGATAAATGTAGATTTGATTTGTGATCAATAAACAATATGTATGTATCCAAACTATTTGCTGTTACAATTAACTTCAATTAATTTATCACTCCCTCTGGTTGTCATGTAGGTAAAAATGTGCAATTATTTACATTGGATGACAATATTTGAAACTGCTCAGTGATCGTAGTGATCGCAGTTATTTCAAATCATCATGATCAGTCTATTAATTGCAAGCTTGTAAGCTTGTAAAATCAGTCCTAACAAACAAACTCAAGCTCAGCAACGAAAACCTGTGAGAAGAGCAGAAATCCGTATTCGTCGCAGGGCAGCATGTCGTCCACCAGAACCGTCGTCCACGTCCCGTCCTTACAGAGCCGCACCTGATACGCTCCCTCCTGGCATATGGTTCTGGTGATCATTACACGCTCCACCAACTCGGGCCGCTCTGCTAGGACTGCGAGAGCGCTTAAAAACCTGTGAAACAAGCAACACAGCGCCAACATTTCACTCCTACATCACTAAACTACACTGGGCTGAAATTATTCTGAGCGCAGCAAAACAGCTAAACTGGATGCCACTTGAGGTCATGTGACAAAAAATAGTGTTTAAAGGGATAGTTCACCCAAAAATGAAAATTTTGTCATTAATTACTCACCCTCATGTCGTTCCAAACCCGTAAGACCTTTGTTCATCTACGGAACACAAATTAAGATATTTTTGATGGAATCTGAGGGCTCTCTGACCCTCCCATAGACAGCAAGGGTACTACCACGATCAAGGTCCAGAAACATAACAAGGACATCTGTATCACCGCATCACCTTAGCGCCATTTTGGAGAGTATCCACTGAACGTAAATTGCGTATGCTGTTTTGTGTCAGCTGCGCCACACGGATACATTGTTTTCATTCAAATCAAAGCGTAAACGACGTATCCGTGTGGCGCAGCTAACACAAAACAGCACACGCAATTTACGTTCAGTGGATACTCTCCAAAATGGCGCTAGGGTGATGCGGAGGAGACGAATTGTTGAATAAAGTCGTTATTTTTTTTCGTTTGCGCACAAAAAGTATTCTCGTAGCTTCGTAAAATTACGGTTGAACC